ACTTCCTGCTTTCCTGCATACTTTATTGACAGCATTTTGTACTTCTTGATATCTTGATATCTTTTTGGACAGCTTTTTGGATATCTTGGATAGTTTGAATTTGTGAATTTCAGTTAGGCAATTCAGTTCAGTTTGCATTTGGACTTGTACATGCTGTTTGTTTTGAAACTACGCAGTTGGTTGGCAAATTTGAATCATGAACTATGCAGTTTGTTTGACCATTTTGAATTTGTGCAATTGTATACTTGTGCATTTCATTCTTAAATTGCAAGACATTCCATCCCTCTTTGTGAACCGGGAGAAATCTCGTGATTTGCAGAGAGGGGAAAAACTGATTCCGGCCAGTCGCTTTTAATGATGAATCTTTAGATTACTGTCTGTCTTTTATTTATCTGCTTTTGACTTCTTTTCTCTTTCTTTGTTTTGCAGATGAAAATCAATGGAGCAAAAGAGCATTGGATAGAAGATGAAGATTTAGAAAAATAGGATGCAATTTTATTTCATTTCAATTATTTGTAACATTATCATTAGAAACAAAATGTAAATAAATTTACAATCGTTTAAATAATAATTTGTAACAAACAATTAAATATGAATAAAAATCTCTTTTTGTCAGTTAATTCCTTCTTTCTTTTCAACTGTTTATTTTAATTATTTGAGTTTCTTAAATTAAAACAATTGGAAATAAATCCAATTATTGTGACTTAGAAAAAGAAATAATTAATAAACGTCTGGCGTTCCGAATTAAACATAACAATGCACATTCAAACAACAAACGTCCACATGCCCTCTTTTCACTGATTTAATCAAACACTGCAAACTCAATCCAAATGCTTCAGTCCAAATCTCAGAGTAAACTGAAAAGAACTGTAAAATTAATCCTTTATGAGAACGCGCGCACAAAAACCCTAGTTTTGTTTTAATTGTCAGAGAAGCGTCCGCCTGATCAAAACCTGAGCCAACTCAACCCAACCTTAGCAATCTGCCTGAACTGCTTTAAAATCAATGAAAACCCTAAATTTTGTCTGACTGACGAGAAAAGTCTGTTTGACCGATTCTTGAGCCAGTCTGAAAAAATCAGGAAAAGCCCGAAGCTGTGATTTCTTGTGGAAAAATACGAGGGCAAATTTTGGGGTGCAACAATAGGATTTTAATTTCCGCAACTTATCGCTTTAATATAATTGTTAGTAATTAGGGTGTGTATGGCAAGATAAAAATCAACAAGTAGAAAACTCTAACACAAGACAAAACAAGAATGAAAATCAACACACTTGCACACAAGCACCCCTAGGGTAAAATCCACTTGGTTGCCTTATAAATGACCATATTACGCATGTGAGGTGTCTTAGCAAAAACCATCAAAAAACAAGATCATAGTCCCTCGATGACGCTACAAATGTTGCCTTACAAATGATCTTAGTCCCTCAAGAGAAATGCTAAGATACCTTGCAATATTGCTAATCATGGTTATACGATGACCCGCGTCCGTCCCTTTACATCCAAAGATAGGGTTATTTACCAAATCAATGGTAATACAACAATGTCAAAGGAAAAGAAAATGAACAAGAACGACTTTTTGAGTAGGTAGAATGTTCCTAATTACTTGCTCAATTTCAAACAAACATCCTTGCTATTTTCAAAATAATCACATACACTTTCAAACATCTTACAAAATTGAAAACATTTTCAAAAGATCAACATCTTTGTATACATTCTTATGAACGATAATCATTACAAAGATTACCTAAACAATGACCTCTTTACAAAATACTTTCAAAAACCACACAAAGCATAATTTGAAACAAAAGCAAGTGATCTAGCAAGTAACTAAGAGCCCATGGAAAACCATGGATAAAAAGGGTGCTAATACCTTCCCTTTTTATAATCTACCCCCCGAACTCAAGAAAACATCTCAAAGGTCTTTCCTGTGCTTTTTTCACCTTTCCTTTTGGATAAAAGAAAAATCGGTGGCGACTCTTGCTAAACTGCAACATTTGCGATAAAACGCAAAAATCCTCAAGTCAGTTCTTCCACCGTATCACAGAACTGGCGACTCTGCTGGGGAATTTTATAAAAGTGGGGTTACCTTAGGGTTAAATCACATTTATTTGATTACATTGTTTGGCTTGTTTGCTTTACATTATGGTTCTTTGTTTGGGTTTGAAATCCTCTACCCGGATTTGGGATACATTATAGGTAAATAGTAATACGTTGTGGAAACTGTGCGGGGTATACCGACATGGTCTAAGCAATAGCTATGTTAGTGTGACATATTTGTGGGTACCGATAGCCTTTGAGTTAATCAAAGAGAGTACGGGGCCGCTGAGTGATGTCGTGAAGCACTAATGAACTTCTAGAACCCTTTACTTGACTAACTTGGCCTTTAGGATGTAGTGAGATGACCGACTTTGGTGCAGTCCGAAGTTGGTAGATACTTGATACTACACTCATTGAGGTTTAGATTCTTGGGATATTTCGGTCGCCATTAAAGAGGCTCGATCTGAAACAATGACCAAGGAAACAATCTAGTGATATTGAGCTCCTTAGAACCCGGTTACTATTATTAGGACAGGTTTACGCCAACTAAACTTCAAGAGTGTACTTACCTATAAAACCCCATGCAAGCCTAAACTAGGAACTTGATTGCTTTGCTTGTATATGCATACTTGTACATAACATCATGGACATCATGAACACCATATGCATCCACTAACCATTTCAAGGATTTTGGAGATTCATTTTTGTTCTTGTTTTGTAGGATATGGATTCACTTCGCAGGAAAACTATCCAAGTCAACCTTGTAAGAATTCCTCTACAACTTAAGGAGATAGCTTCAAGGATCCCTGAGAACTCTCCGTTCACCGAGAGACATGGTCGTCTACTCAACTTGGTCACCTCCAACACAGATGAGGATATGATAAAGGTGCTCTTTTAGTTCTTTGATCCTTTGCACCATTGCTTCACATTTCCCGACTATCAACTTGTGCCTACTTTGGAATAATTCTCCCAACTCTTGAGGATTCCCATTCTCAATCAACTACCTTTCAATGGTACGGAAAGAGACCCAAAGCCAAAGGAGATTGATCAAGCTCTGCACTTGCACTCGTTTGATGTCAAAACTCATTGGGAAACTAGGAGTGGTGTCAAAGGCTTCTTAGCAAAGTTCCTGTTTAAGAAAGCCCAAAGTTGTTGGAATTCCTTAGACTTGCAAGCCTTTGAGGAAATTATGGCTCTTCTTATCTATGGGATGGTTTTATTCCTCAATCCTAACCAACTCATAAATGTGAGCGCCATCAAAATCTTCATGTCACGCAACCCGGTGCCTACATTGCTTGGAGATATCCTACACTCTTTTCACACTCTTACAATGAGGAAAAGAGGTGTCCTTATGTGTTGCACTCCTCTCCTGACAAGATGGTTTATTTCTTATCTTCCCCAATTAGTCTTAAAGAATGAGCAAGGTTTGAGGTGGTCACAAATGTTAATAACGCTCAAACATTCAGACATTTATTGGTGCTCCCGATCCAAAGAAAATGTTATCATTGTTGACCGTTGTGGGGAATTCCCTAATGTCCCTCTACTTGGCATTAGAGGAGGCATCACCTACAACCCATGCTTAGCTCTAAGAAAGTTTGGTTATGCCCGAAGGGATGGCCCACACGAGATGCTGATTCAAGGCTGGGTATTCGAATACGACAACGACGATCAAGGTCTTCGCCAGAGATTCATCCGAGCTTGGAGGATGCTAAACAAGGTGGATATCAAGACTTTGGGACACAAGAATTCCATCCCTCTTGAGCCTTATCTCAAGTGGGTATGAACCCGTGCTCAAAGTCTTATGATGCCTTATCCTTCAATTCTTCCGGTGATTATCGAGCCTGTTAAGGAAGGAGACGTTCCATACACTATCCTACATCCTGACATGCCCACATCTCTTGAAGACCTGCAAAGGGATTGGATACAGCTCAAGGGAGAGAGAGATACTTTCGAAGCCTAATTCTACGCAAGCGAGAAGAAGGTTTTGGAACTCACTAGGCTACTTTACGAGGAGCGGACTCTAAATGCCTACATTACACCAAAGAGCATGCGCACTACTTTTTTATCTTAGAGTTTTGTATTATTTTGCCCAAGGGGCATTGATGTACTCAAACTTTATCTTATTAATATAATGTGTGTTTCTTTTTGTCTAAAACTAACTTGAATCTTTGAAATCCTTGAAAACATTGCATATGCACATATCATTCATTATAATATAAACAGGTCTTTTGCAACGAGTTTCCTCATCTCTCTACTGTTTATTTCAGTAAGATGGATCTTGAACAGACAGTCAAAGATCTTCAAGTTCAAAACATGCAGTTTCAACAGTTACTCACAACCCTGGCCAAAGGACAAGAGGAGTTGAAGACTCTGTTGGCCAAAGAGAAGGAAAATAAAGAGAAGAAACCAACCGGTGTTATAATCATGGGGAGAAGGTTTCAAGGACAGACTAGAAGAACCTTGAATTTCGCAATTTCATCTAATGAAGGAGAAGGAAAAGGAAAGGAAACAGCGGTTCCGTCAGAATCTGAATAGGAGGAAGAAGAGGAAGATTACTCCGAGGAACAATATCCTCCAGCGGATGATAAGTACAGACATCTTGAAGAGCGTTTGAACGCTATGGAAATACAAAGGGTACCAGGTCTAGACTTTGAAGAATTGGGACAAGTGTCGGGAATTGTGATCCCACCAAAGTTCAAAATGTCGTTGTTTGCAAAATATGATAGGGTGTCATGTCCTAAAATGCACCTCCGATCATAGTGTCGGGAATTTAATAATGAACATCATGAGAGAGAATATGTTACATTTACATAGAACACATAACAAACAGATTGCCTCTTTTTTGTTCATATGAGTAAAAATAACATGTACATGATGAGCTTGCAAACTATATTAATTATTGAATGTTTCATTGCCTGCTTTTATATGGTAATTTAGTTGTTAGTTTGTGTTATTCAACTAAGATGGATTCACATATTTTGGACAGGAAAAAATTAGCAACCTTGGCAAGAAGCAAAAGGAAGCAAATTATCAAAGATAGAAGAACAAAGAGGAACCGAGTTGATGACATCAGAAGTTCTGCCAAAAATCATTTCAGAACACCTCTATCTAATATTATCAATTCAGTTTTGAATTCGACGAAGCCGAATTTCAATTCAATGCCAATTGCAACTGTTCTTGATAATGCACATAGATTGAACGTGGGTGTGATCATGTTATTTCATCAAATCTCCATAAGTTATTTGTTAGTAAGAATCGATATTTTGTATCTTTGTCATTATCTTATATAAAGACACCAACATCTTCATCAGGAAGCTCCAAATCTAACATTACTTTTAATCATTTGTCCCCACCATATTCGTCCGCGTCTGCAAGGAAGAGAAGGATGAGAATCATTAGACAGAAGGCTAATGTGTCAAGTATACATGATGGCAACATTGTCAACAATAATGGTGGTGATGTGTTGAACCATTCTGCACTAACTGAAAATTCATATACGACTCTGTGTGCAATAAAATCCTCATCGTATAATCAAAGGTAATATACATGCTCAGTCAAGTGGATACATATATTCATCTAAAATACAATTGAATGTTGGTGCCATTCGGTCGGTTGCCGTCAATATTTTCCATGCTTTTTCAAACATTGATCATGGAGTTGCCTCTTCATCCAGAAATCATTTACCATCTACTACAAATGCTAACATTTCTATTACAAGTTCTAACATTCAAAGTGATGTGTCAGATGAAGAATGTTCGACAGATGAATATTTCAGCGATAATTCATGCGAATTTATAAATAAAAAGGGTGACGATGAGACATTTTCATGTTCAGATGACGATCAATATTATGATAACACTTCTACCCCGGTTTATTGTCCCAACTCTGGTACGTGTCAAAGTTCTAATATTTTATGTGTAGTTAAACGATTCTTATATTTCAAAGAGACCAACTAAAGATACCTAAACTTACTGTTTTTTTACATGATATGTTATGTTATCTTTGATTTATTTAGGTTATTCAGACATTGTTGATCCTGCAATTGAATACACGCATTGTGGAGCCTAATGTGGTATCAAGAAAAGACAGACAAATGAAAACATAGTGCAGTTCCCAAGTTCCAGTTATGTTGTGTAAATGGGAAAGTTGTGTTACCACTTTTGAAACCACTGTCACCATTACTTAAACATCTTTTGTTTGATAACAATTATGTATACTGTCGAAATTACCAGCAACATTGCAGATTATACAACATTATGTTTGCATTTACTTCTCCTGGTATGAAGTTAGACAATAGATTCCAAAATGGTAGAGGACCACCTAACATAGAATACATGGACAATCTTGCCATAGAATTGGGAGCATGATACCTTTGCCTGGACAATCACCTAAGTTTGCGCAACTATATATTTACGACACTGATAATGAGATTCAACATAGAATTGAAGGAAATAGGGTATTGCTTCTATTCTTACCAGGCTTGATGCAATTAAAATTTTGGAGTTGCTTTTTTTATGAATGCTAACTATTGTTTCTTTTTGTAGTAACAATCCCAATATTGTTACAGAAACTGTCAACAAGTTAAAAGCTATGCTGGATGAGTTTAACACACACGCTAAATCATTTAGAATGGCTGCAGATAGATTAAAGGATACTCTCGTGCCTGATCTAAAGCTGAAGTTAATAGCTGACAGATCAAAATATGGAAGAACGTACAACCAACCGACTGTTTCGGAGGTAGCTGCACTTATCGTTGGTGATGTTGATATAGGTTCTAAAAGGGATATAATTATTGAAAAACAGATCGGAAAGCTGAAAAGAATAAGTGAGTTTCATCCAAGTTATCTTGCGTTACAGTATCCGCTTTTGTTTCCATTTGGGGAAGATGGTTGTAGACTTGGTGTTCTACACAGAGATATAAGTGTAATTAAAAAAGGTAAGCAAAATAAGGTTACCATTAGAGAATGGCTAGCTTTTAGGATTCAAAGTCGTCATAATGAAGCACATACTCTTTTGAGGTCAAGGCGGTTGTTTCAGCAATTTTTGGTCGATGGATTTACTATGATGGAGTCCCAAAGATTGAATTATATCCGCAAGCACTCAATCTGTCTCTCTCGAACAAAGGGAAAACACTCAAGAGGCAAACAAAGGTAAAAGAGCCATTTTACCGTCAACCTATGTTGGAAGCCGTAGATACATGGAACAACTGTATTTTGATGGGATGGCAATATGCAACCATATTGGTTTTCCAGACCTTTTTATCACTTTTACATGCAATCCAAATTGGCTAGAAATTTAAAGGTTACTTAACAAAGTTAATCTTCAACCTCATGATCGTCCAGATATTATATCAAGGGTGTTTAAAATTAAGTTAGACGAGTTGTTGTGTGATCTAACAAAGAAGCATGTCTCGGGGAGGGTGGTTGCATGTAAGTTGTATTTACTAAATAATCATCAAGTTCTCATTATGCGACTTTATTTATATAAAAGGAATATGTTTTATATACATGTTTTGTCACTAATATCAATATTTTCATATATATACACAATTGAGTTCCAAAAGCGCGGATTACCACATGCACATATTCTTCTATTCATGCATCCCTCAAGCAAGTATCCCACTCCAGATGACATAAACAATATTATTTCAGCAGAGATACCATCTGAAAATGATGATAGGCAATTGTATCATTTGGTCAAGACACGTATGATTCATGGGCCATGTGGTTTAGCAAATCAGTCTTCACCTTGCATGAAAAATGGGAAGTGCTCTAAATTCTTTCCCAAACAATATCAACCTCAAACAATTGTTGATCACGATGGATATCCTATGTACAGAAGAAGGGAAACTGGAATTACAGTGATGAAGAAGAATGTAGTGCTCGATAACAGACACATTGTTCCTTATAACCCATTTCTATTGAAGAAATTTCAGGGACACATAAATATGGAGTGGTGTAATCAGGGTACTTCAGTTAAATACTTATTCAAGTATATTAACAAGGGGTGTGACAGAATTACCGCGGCTGTTGTCGATAATGAGACAGACGAATCTTCCCATATTAGAAATGTCGACGAAATCAAGCAATATATTGATTGTAGATATGTCTCACCAAGTGAAGCATGTTGGAGGATCTTTTCATTTCCTATTCATGGGAGATCTCCTACAGTTGAAAGGTTGTATTTTCATCTTCAGGGCGACAATCCGGTTTACTATACTAATTATGAACTGATAGATGAAGTCCTTGACAAACTGAGTGTGAAAGAATCAATGTTTACCGCTTGGATGGAAGCAAACAAGACATATGCAGAGGCAAGAAATCTGACATACTCTAATTTTTTGACCAAGTTTGTTTATGATAAAAGATATAAAAAATGGAGACCACGTAAGAGAGGCCATACAATTGGAAGACTAATTTGGATTCCTCCAAGTACCGGTGAGTTGTATTACTTAAGAATGATGCTTACAGTTGTCAAGGGGCCAACATGTTATGACGATATTAAAAAAGTGGGTGGGATAATTTAGGATACTTTTCGAGACGCATGCTTCGAAATGAGCTTTCTTAACGATGACAAGGAGTATGTTGCAGCCATAAATGAGGCGAAGGACTGGCGTTCTGGACACTTTCTGAGAAAGTTATTTGTTATTATGTTACTGTCTGGAACAATTAATAGACCATGTCATGTTTGGGAAAAAACTTGGAGCACGTTATCTGATGGCATTCTTTATCAACAAAGACAAGCAACAAATAGAAGAGGTAGATTCCAGTTTTTGAATTTTTTCATAGTATATTAATATATATTTTAATAGATGACTGATCAGTGTTACTGTTACAATTATATATCAACAAGATATTGGATACAAAATATTTATAAACATTATGATAGGTATTATTTAAAACCCATGCACACAATTGTATTTTGTAATAGACTTCCAATTTATTTGAACAATGCTTCTACTGAAAAAATCTGCTTATGGTTGATACTGATGTAGGTCTTAATACAGTCGTGTATAACTTCATATTGATGTACACACTGCTTCCATTGATACATTTAATTTGTTACTGCCATTTTGTATTTTAGGGTGTTGTTGTAATTTCATTGAAATGCAACATTGTCAATGATATACTCAATGTAGCCGTAAATTATACTTTGTCGTTCATTCATATAATTTGAACATTTATTTGATTATTGTCATAAATCTGTATGTGATTTGTTGGTTGTATATTTTTTTATAGATATGCAGTTGTCAATAACAGAGTTGAGGAATTTGACACTAATTGAGATTGAGAATATGTTGCAATCAAACCAAAGAAGTTTGCATGAATTTAAAGATATGTCGTATCCAGATTCATATGTCATACGCCACGTGGGAAATAGACTAATTTGGGACGAACGTAATTACAATTCTCAAATGGAACGACAAAATCACCAAACTCTCTATCACGCACTTACATGTTAGAAATTCACTTTGTATTCCCAAGCTGAATTATTAAAATATGTTTATTTTTGTTATAAACACAGTAATTTTTGCATTTTAATTAACAGATGAACAACGTTCAATATTTGATACGATTATGGAAGTTGTAGACAAACAAAGAGGAGGGTTGTTTTTTCTACATGGTTATGGAGGGACCGGTAAAATTTTCATGTGGAGAACATTATCATGTGCACTTCGTTCGAAGCAAAAAATTGTTCTTACCGTTGCTTCGAGTGGCATAGCTTCTTTATTATTGCCAGGTGGAAGAACTGCTCGCTTAAAGTTCAAAATACTAGTGCCAACGCTTGACGAATCTACTTGCAATGTTGATAAAAATGACGAACATTCACAGTTATTTGAAGCAACCGATGTTATAATATGGGACGAAGCTCCTATGTCTCATAAGTACTGTTTTGAGGCATTGGATAATTCACTCAAAGATGTCATGAGAAAACACGGTATGGCGAATAAAATCTTTGGTGGCAAAGTTGTTGTTTTTGGAGGAGATTTTAGATAGATACTTCCAGTTGTTCCAAGAGCAGGGCGTTCTGAAATTGTCCATGCATTAATATGCTCATCATATGTATGGGACTATTGTCAAGTTCTAACACTAACAAAAAATATGAGGTTGCAGCAGGGAAGAGACAATACACGTTCACATGAATTAGCTGAGTTTTCTAAATGGATCTTAAATGTTGGGGATGGTAAGATATGTGAACCAAATGATGGATTGGTTGAGATAGAGATTCATCAAGAATTATTGATATCCAAATTTGAGGATCCTATAAAAGCTATTGTTGATAGCACATATCCCAATTTGCGTGACAATTTTCAGGATGTTGGATACCTGCAAGGTAAAGCTATTCTTGCATCAACCATTGAAGTTGTGGACAAAATCAACCACTATGTACTTGACATGATACCAGGTAATATAATTTTTACTTTAATCTATATATATATATATATATATATATATATATATATATATATATATATATATATATATATATATATATATATATATATATATGCACACAACTTCCAACAATAAATTTTTATCATGTTGGTTCTATTAATGTATTAATATTTACACTTCATGGCATTTTTTAGGAGAAGAGAAAGAGTATCCAAGTTTCGATTCAATTGATAGAACCGATACAACTTATACTGAAGCATACGAAGTTCTAACCCTAGAATTCCTAAGTAAACTAAGAACATCGGGCCTTCCAAATCATAGGATTAAATTGAAGGTTGGTACCCCCATCATGCTAATAAGAAATTTGGATCAAACTGATGGATTGTGCAATGGAACAAGATTAATTGTTACAAGGTTAGCAAACCACGTCATTGAGGCAAAAATTATGTCTGGAAAAAATATAAGTAACATTTTTTACATTCCTCGAATGTCCATGTCACCTTCTGAGTCACCGTGGCCATTCAAGTTGATTAGGAGACAATTTCCAATCATTGTCTCATATGCAATGACAATTAATAAATCACAAGGTCAATCGCTTGATAATGTCAAATTATATTTGCCTACACATGTTTTTAATCATGGACAATTGTATGTTGCAATTTCGAGGGTCACAACCAAGAGCGGTCTTAAAATCTTAATACATGACAAGCAGAATGCACCGTGTTCGACCACCACAAATGTTGTATACAAAGAAGTCTTCCAAGCACTTTGTTAGTTGGTAATCATTTTCACCTTATTCTTTGTGATACAAATTAAATCCCAATGTTTAATTTATGTGTTTAAATTCCATATATTTTCATTAGTTTTTAAAAAATGCTTAATATTGAATGTCTTCTTTGATATATTTTTCCATGCAGGTGTGTGATGCGAGCCGTTGTCGTTAGTTGGTTCATTCATTTACAAGTTCAACTTTGGAATTTATAATATTACAAAGTTTTCATTTGGACTTATAATGATTAAAAATTTGGGTATTATTTTTACAAGTAATGTAAATTTTGCTGTATAATTTAATATTACGTTCAAAATTAATTATATTTTAATTGATTTTTATTAGTTTAATTTTGACACAAGATAGAACTTTACAAATCAATATTAAATCATGTGATGTGAAAACCATACGAAACCCGTGCGATATCACGATTACCCACTAGTTAATTAAATAAAATTAAACATAAAAAAAAAACATATGGGGTTTTAAGGTGTAAGAGAGGTGAGTGTGAAACTAGTGAAAGATGAGGTTCAAAAGCACAAATCCAATTAACCAAGTAAAACTAATATAAAAACTGAAATAAATAAAATAACAATGAAAAGAAAAACTTGTATGTATGATACATGCCGCTCCTTTCTATGTTGTTTCACTAACCAATTTCCGGTCTCCAATCCAATATTTACACGTGTCATCGGTTAACATAAAAAAAACAAATAAAATAATAGCTATAAAAATGTGTCATGTTATCAGATATACACCAACCTTTCCTCTCTACTTTCCAAACAGAGTCTAAAAGACTCAACTTTTCTTTCTTCAAGTTTTGCTTTTAAGATATGCAAAAGGAACCGGCATACTTCCTCATCATCCTCAATTGAAAATACAGTAAGTCAAACCTGGAATTCTAAGTGAAAGCAAGTCGCCAGCGGTTTTGTCAACGGAGAGATTCACGGTAGTGGGTGTCTCGTCGCGACTGTTGGAAATCTTGGAAT